AGCCTGGGGCATGGAATAGCCCACAAGAAGAAGGGAGTCTTGTTGGCCCAGTAAATGCGTTTGAAAGAAAGGAAGGGAAGAAAAGGAAGTGGCAAGTGTATTTTGGGTTCACCCTGGTGGAGTGATGAAATGAGGAGGTAGGAAACGGTAAGGAGAGTCGTCCAATCTAAGTAGAGCTTTCCTTCCTCTTCCTTCCCCTTGCTTACCTGGGTTACCTGTGTCCTGATACCCTTCACACCTGCATGTGGAGGTGCCTGCTGGAGAGCTGCACAGGGTGGGATTCTGAGACTGCTGAAACAGCTGCTGCGATTGGAGAGCGAGAGGCTAATCATTCAAGCCAGAGCCCTTCTACCCATCTCAGCTGATGTCAGTCCTGAGCTTCCTGCTGGGCTGAAGGAGTTGAATGCTTTCATATGCCAACAAGAGTATTCTGATTTTTCTAATAGTCATATCACTTGTATTATAAAGGATTTTTTGGCAAGATGAATTCAGAGCAGGTTGAGCTACCTTACCCAAACTATTCTGATTAAGGACCCCAGGTCTTTCCCGAGGAAGTCTCTAGTGGCAGGCCACCAGGCTCTGTCCTTGGCCCTGACTTGTTAAACATTTTTGCTAATGACTTGGATGAAAAATAGAAAGAATCCAGATGACCTGCAGCTGGCATAGTTAATATGATACATGACATATTCAAGTTCAAAATGATTTATATAAGATGGGATGCAGGGCCAAAACCAACAGAATGAAATTAAACAGAGGTGAATGTAAAGTCCCATAGTTAATATGATACATGACATATTCAAGTTCAAAATGATTTATGTAAGATGGGATGCAGGGCCAAAACCAACAGAATGAAATTAAACAGAGGTGAATGTAAAGTCCTCTGCTTAACTTTGGGAAGATGTCGTGCACCAGAATAGGACAGACCTGGCTTGGAGGTCCACAAGCATTTTTCAACCATTCCACAGATGTTTATTGGGCCTACTGTATGAGAAATGCTGCTGCCTGGATTCCTGGAGGGAGTAAGATATAAAGATGCCATCTCAATAAGCTGAAGGTTTTGTAGTGGTGGTGGAAGTGGTAAGATATATCCCCAAATAAAGCAGGGCACAGGACATGCTGAAGTGTCATGTAAACGACATGACCACAGGGCTGGGGAATTTCACAGAGAAAGAACATTCTCAACTTCTACAACTGGAGAAGCCTTCATGGGAGAGGGTGATGTCAGAATGGGCACCAAGGGCCGGCCCGGTGGCACACTGCTACAGTGCACCGCTTGGGAGCGTGGTGGCGCTCCCGCCGTGGGTTCGGATCCCCCCTACAGACCCGGTCCCACCCACTC